CTCAGAGAGTGGGGATTTTAGAATTTTGGATACGGGTTGTGAACTGTTTCATTTATTTTCTTTTTAGAATGTGTCAGCAGTTAGAAACACTGCTACGGTGCTATTTCCCAGCCCTTGTTAACCTCAGACTTAGCAAGAACTACAAGATCTAGATATTCTTTCAAACATAAAGTAGTTCACAGACTTCCTCTCATCAAGCAGGTCACATCTGTCATGGTTATTCCCAGATCAATTCAAGGGGTTCTGTAAGAAGCAACTGGATTTTGATGAAATTAAGAATTTATCCCAGCTAATATTGATGCCAAATGTCAGAGCTGAGGCTGGAACCCAGGGCCTCTGACTCCTGGTCTCATTTTTCCCTCTCCTGCCTTCGTCTGAGGACAGTGGGTGTGAGCTCCTGCGCAGCCTTCTCCCCTCTCGGACAGGCTCCGGCTGAAGGATGAAGGATGGAGCATGCGCTTCTTGCACGTGCCTCTTGGTATGTTTAGCAACATGGAACTGAAACTGGACAGCTCTTTCTCCAGCTGGGCTGTGAATGAAGCATCTCCTCGTTCAATTCCCTAGACCTGCAGGCGCGTCAAGGTGGCAGCACTTGGCCCTCGGAAGGTCCTTGGTGTGAGTTGGTCCCGGCACAGCCAGGTGAGTCCTCACACTTGTTCTGATGAGCCCTGCCAGGAAGACAGCGGCAAAGAGTTGGCTGGAGGCTGTTTGTATTAGCAAGGTCCCGGGAGTCTCCAGGAAGGTCTCACAGGTCTTCTCCAAATGCCAGGAGAGAAGGCTCTTGGGCCAGGGTCCATCTCTGCTCTTGTAATGCTCAGTGGCAACACTGGCAGAGGGCCCTCTCACAGGGCTTTTGGTGTCAAAATCAGGACGCCAGGGAGCTCCCTCCTCTCGGGGTCTGCAGGTCTCATTTCTGCTCCTCCTTGGGCCTCCTGGCCTCTACCTTTCTCATCTGTGCTCCTCTCTATATCTGTATAGTTTCCCTTCTCTCACGGGGGTTTGTGCTTTAACTTTTATTACAATACATGTCCAATATAGAAAAAGTAGGAAACTCAGATGAATATAAAAATTACTGAGCCTTCGGGACAATGCTATGCACTATTCCAGGGGCTCTGCCTGAACTTGATAACTTATCCCTGATGACAGCTCTAGGGGTGGGTCCTTTCATTGTATCATCTCTGTTTGACAGATGAGGGCACTAAGACACAGAGAGATCAACTCACTTGCCCAAGGTCGCAGGGCTAGGAAGTGACAGACGGGATTTGAACCAGGCAGCATGGGGCCAGAGTCCACATCCTAACCAACAGGCCGTACTGCCACCTCCCGGGAGAAAATAAACTCACCCCAAATCCTACACGCAGAGGTAACCACAGCCATATTTAAATGTATAGCCTTTCAGTGTCTTTTCTTTATAAGTATTTTAAATAGTTTTCATAAATTATTATCAAAGGCATCATCCTCTCTGGACTGTTTTCTAACCTACTCTTTCACTTAGCTTCCTATGTCAGAGTCTTCTACAGTCTTTTCTTCAAAATGAAAGTAGTCTTATTTTTTATCGTAAAAGGGATAAAGGAAATAACAAATTTATGTGTTTGCTTGAATCTGCATAAAATATCTCTGAAAGAACACACTAGACGCTTTGGACATGGGTCACTCCGCAGGGGGCCCGATGGAAGGCAGCCAGGGATGCGAGGGGGCCTAACATTTTGTGTTCTTGATTGTGACTGTGTGGAGGCATTATCTATTTCAAAAATAAGGAAGTTTTAAAAATGAAGTTGATTCATCCTCATTGCAAAAAAAAAAAATACAGAAAGGCATAAAATAGAAAATAAATTCATGTTTAAACTCAATACCCAGAGATAAAACTGTTGAGATTTTCGCTCTGTTTCTTCCAGATCTTCATCTATGAATGTAGAGACATATGTGCAGGTATATTTTTACCAAAACGGGACAATGCTGTATGGTCTGTTTTGTTCCCTGTGTTTTTCATTCGGGGTGAATCATGGACCACGTTCCATGCAGCCTCATTTTAAATATCTGCGTGTTACCAGTCATGTGAAGTCGGCCAGGTACCAAAAGACTCTCCCTGGATGAACTGAGAGAGTCCAGCATCTGGACACGCAGTGCTGGCTGACACAATCCCCATCACCCCAAATCTGGAATTTCAATTTGCCTGTGCAAGACCTTGAATAAGCAGCGTGCCGTGCTCCAGACCCTGTGGAGGTGTCATCTGGGATTGGACACTTACTCCCTAGGTGCAGATACCTCCTACCTGCCCCGCCCCGCCCCCCTAGCCTTTGTGCTCACCGCCACCAGAACAATGCCATTGAAAGCAGAGGACCTTGGTGGGAAGAACCAGCTGCGAGTCCAAAGACCTGGGGTCCCATCTGGGCTCTGCCACATGCTGTGTGATCCCTGCAAAGTCACTTTCCTTCTCTGTAGCTCAGAGGAAATAATCTCCATGCTGTCTATCTCATGGTGTTAATTTATTAGAAGACTCAGATGAAAAAATAATTGTGAAGGTAGTATGTAAAATATTGAGCACTGTATGCATACAAGGTTTTATTGGTAAATTCTGAATCCTAACTGGAGGTGTCAGGAAGAAAGGCAGATGTCAAAACCAGCTGGCCCAGCTTCTATCTGACGTTGGCTCGCGGGGCTCACACTCCCCTGGCGCGCTCTTCAAGATCTGCACGCTCGTCTTTAAAACCGAGGGTTGCAGAGATTAAGAGCACCAAGTGTTGGCGAGGATGTGGACCAGCTGAAACTCTGCTAACCCCCTGCACCATGAGTGGGAATGTGAGCGGGGACTTTTGTGGAAAAGAGGTGGTATTTACTAAAATTGGTCATGCGAATTACCCTGTGCCCAGAAAGGCCACTGCTAGCTTTATAATGAACACAAACACATGCACATGTTCACCAAACGACCTTTTTAGAATGTTCACAGCAGCACTATTGATAAGAGCCCCAAATTAGAAACTATCCAAATGCCCATCAGTGGTTTAAAGGATAAATTATAATGTTTTCACCCAATAGAATATTAGACAGCAATGAGAAGGAAGGATATTCAACTACATGCAACACTAGGAATCAATTCCACAAATGTGTTGAGCAAAAGCCTGACCAAAAATGAGGGTACACACTGTTTCACTTAAATCTATTGCTGCAGAGCGAACTATCCCAAAACTTGGCATCTTCAAACATCGGTTTCTTATTTTTCACGATTCTGTGGGGTAGCTGTGCAGTTTCTCTCCTGACTTCATCTGCGGCTGCGTTCAGCTGCAGGTCTGGCAGGGCTGGAAGGGCCATGGCGACCTTGTTCACCTGTGTGGTGGTGCTCAGTTTTTCTCCACGTGGCCCAGTCACCTCCCTGACACAGCGATCTCAGAGCGGCACTCCAAAGGGAGACAGTGAGGCTGCCAGCCTCTCAGGGCCTCGCCTCAGCACCAGCGGAGCGTTCATCCCTCTGCATTCTATCGGTCCAACCAAGTCAAAAGACCAGCACAGATCCGGGTGGAGAAACGATCCTACCTATCGGTGAGAAGTCACCTTGCAAAGGGTCACACGTAAAGGGGTGGGAGAAATTTAAGGCCATATCTTCCATCTACTACAATAGAGTATGATTCCATTTATATAAAGTAGAAAAGCAGACAAAACTGACATATGCTATTACAAATTCCTTGGCAGGTGGGCCTGGAGGGGAGGCGGAGGGAGACACCTGGGTTCCTGGGTGTTCTACGCTTTTTCATCTAGGTACTGGTTACTGCAGTGTGTTCAGTGGAGGAAAATTCAGCGAGCCGTGAACTTAAGATATCTGACATGGTTTATGATTGCTATAGTGGAATTAAAAGTTAAAAATACATACAGTGGCTTAAAAAGAATGAAGCGCCTTTCTCTCTCAGGTCACAGTTGATGAGGCTGTTGGAGCAGCTCAGCTCCTCGAGGTTATTTGGGGCCCCAGCTTCCTTCTCTCTTGCTGTTCCATCACCTTGTCCTCACCTGAACAGTCGAAGCTGCTCCTGGCAGTGTGCATTCCAGCTGGTGGGAATGGACTCAGAGGGGTAATCCCAGATGAACACGTTCCTTTCAAGCTAATAAGGTGGAAGTTACACACATCACTTCCACTCACAATCCAGAGACAAGCATTCATTCTCATGGCCATGCCTGGCTGGGAATGTAGTCTTAGCTGGGCAGCCTGTGCCAATTTCAGGAAATAACTAGCTGTCTGCCACATTTTCACTGATGAAGCTGTTTTTTTTAATAATTATGTTTTCAAAAGGCTACTCAGAAATAGCTATGTTCCTTTTTTCTCAGTGTTAAAAGATTAAAAACACCAACTAGGGGCCAGCTGGGTGGTGCAGTGGTTAAGTTCGCATGTTCTACTTCAGTGGCCTGGGGTTCACAGGTTCGGATCCCGGGTGCGGACATGGCACCGCTCATCAAGCCATGCTGTGGCAGGCATCCCATATATAAAGTAGAGGAAGATGGGCATGGATGTTAGCTCAGGGCCAATTTTCCTCAGCAAAAAGAGGAGGATTGGCAGTGGATGTCAGCTCATGGCTAATCTTCGTCAAAAAAAACAACCACCAAGTGACCTGAGTTCTATGCTTCAACTCCTGTGTCAAAATAAAGGCCATTAATAACCATCACTCATTTTCCTTAAATATATAAATATATTTAAATTATAAATCTATAAGTAAATATATACATTTCTTTAAATTTTAAATATATAATTGGCCAGATTCCAAGGGCTTATATACTTTCCTGGAAACGTCAACCATCTCTGGAAAATTCCTTTCTATGATTTTAGAGGGGCAGCCTCTAAAGTGAAGTGTTCACCGAGTGTTCAATGAAGGAATGAATGCGTTTTAGCAGCCTGTATTTTAGGTGCTGAGAATACCTGATTAAGGCATATAAGACTAAAAAATCCTATAAAAATGTATTAATCCATTTTCTACTTACAATGCACAGATAAGGAATTTTTACACCAAACACACATGTAGAGTTTAGGGCAACAACTTTATTGGTAATGGAACCTGCTAAGGGATCAGAGGCCTGTTTTCTCACGAGGATTCTCCCTCTCACAGCAGTCTGCTCCCTTCCTTGGGACCCCTCCTAACCCGCTCCCTTGGATTTTCTGACGTACTGCTGTCCTCCTTCTGGAAGGAAGGGTCGGCCGCAGCACTAAAGTTCAGGATACGTGAGGACTTTCCCTGAGGCGCCTTGTCTACTGCTCCCAGGCACTTGGCCAGGAGGATCTCCTTGGAGCCAAAAAGTTAACAAACTGGTCTAGAAAATACACAAACAATGTCATGGTCTATAAATCTCTATAACGAACTTTGTGACATCATGCAAAGGCAAAGGGGTGGGGAGGAAAATATCCTGGCTTTGAGTCAGGCAGACTCAGATTCAAATCCCTTCTCCCGCTTCCTACCTACGTGTGTGACCTCGGGCAAAGGACTGGATGTCCCTGGCCTCAGCCTCCTCATCCGTCAAATGGGAGGAAGAGCTGTACTGAGAAGAAACGGATTCAGCCGTCCGCAGGTGCCTGGTGAAGCAGCTTCCTCTGCCACCACCGCCCGTCCCTCCAGAGCTCAAAGATCCATGGCCGAAGGAATCAAAGGGAAGCTGAACAACGACTACAGGTTTAGAAAACAAGACCAAAGGAGAATGGGCGAAGGAACGGTAAACGTTTTGTGTGGAAAGGAGAGCGTTTAGTCCGCACAGAGGGCAGTCAACAACTGGCTGCCATTTGTAAGCTCCCACTACCTTGCTTGGCATTTGATAGTCACGTCCGGTCCTCAGAGCGGCCCTGTGAGGAACCTATGATTATGAGCTCCATATTATCAGTGAGGAAACTGAGACTTTATAACTTGCCCAAGCTCATCCAGCTAAGTGGAAAAGCGGAGATTCAAACTCAGGCCTGCCGCTGTGGCCTAGCTTAGGGTTCTCCTGCCCAGTCAGCAGAGACAGCGCACGGGAGCTGGCCCGAAAGAGGAGCAGGAGGGAGACAAGAAGCCTGTCTGCCCGGGTATCAGGGACAGGCAGGGCCCAGAGAAGACAAATGAAAATCCTTCTTTGGCTGGGATTCGTCAGGAGGGAACCTCCAGGCCTCAGCTGCCTTCCCGGTGGGCTCGCCTGAAGGGACGAGGGGCTCTCGTTTCGCTGGAGGAAGATGGGCTTGTGAGCACCAGGCTGGGGACTGACCCGGGGGCCACACAGGCAGACCCGGGCACCCTGCCCCTCCTCACCGAGGGGCTCAGCGGCGCCCAGGTGAGTCCATTCTCTATTTTTTCTTCTACGTTCTATTATTGCAGAGATTCCCTTTGCCTCACGCTGGCCATTCCCAAGAAAGGGTTTATATAAAACTATTAAAATGTACAAATGAAATTTTTTCGCCTCGATCTCGGCACTTCTCCATTTTCTCATCTGCAGAACAGGTCTGACGACTCCCACAACCCTGGACAAGGCCCTGTGGTTGTCAGGCGCTTCGAGCCATGCCAGGTCTTACTTTCACACGACCTCAGCACCATCCAGGCAGGCACCAGGAGCAGGCAGCCTGTGCCACCTCCCACTCTGTGGCTACTCCCAGTAGAAGCTGAGGCTTTGGCTTTCTTGCCCAACTGATTCTTTACGTTGCTGACTGGAGCTCCATCCCATGTCTGCAATCCGTTTCCTCTATGGGGCTGCACTATTCTCTCCCATCTAGATAATTGGGAGGCAACCAAAACAGAGTTTCTCTCCCTCCTGCATTTTTTTCTTTTGTGGAGTCCTGGAAAAGGTCAGATCAATGGACTCAGACTCAGACCCTGCGTGCTGACTCTCAGAGGCCTCTTTCTCTTATACCTACAGGTTATCAGTTTGAGCCAAAGACTTGTTTTTTTGAAGAGCAGTCCCAAAAGTTCACTAAAAATTGCATTTGGATTTAACTTAGATGAAAACTTTGTTTACCTCCATGTTTCTAAACTCTGCACACACCTGATTTTCAACCACTGGACTTAAATTGACTTCTGACACTGATATACCTTCCAAATGAACTGAAACAAAGAGCCTCAGCCCCATATCACCCTCCCCTCGAGGTCACACAGAAAAACAAAGCCACACTGAGAAAGGAGGGGCCGCAGTTTGCTATTGTCGGGTGAACGTCTCTTGGCCTCAGAATGCTGCCACTTCCCGCAGCTCCAGCCCTGGGCCGTGGTCCACTCTGAGTAAGTGAATTCCTCTGCTGAAACTCGCACACAACAAGGACCTGGTGTCGCCAACAGCCAGGGAAGTCAAAGGTCCCGATCCATCCAGAGACAAGGTGGAAAGGCAGGCTGGGGGAGAAAGGGCAACCAGCAGGTGAGGCCAAGAGTGCAACGTCTTTGTTAGAAATGCACGTAAAGAAAGCAAGTGCCACTCGGATCTCACTCAGATAAGAGGGGCACCGCATGCTTCAAGGAACGGGCCCCAGCGGGGAAGTCAGAACTTGGGTCAACCCTAAGACTCCAACCTCAGAGATGGCACAGGGACCTAACAGGATGTATACCACCTACAAGTGTGTTCAGACAATCAGGGCCTCACTTGCAAGGACAAGGTAAAAAGCTGCCCTCGTTACCTGCCCAGGAACAAAGCAGGGGCTGGGCAGAGCAAAGCAGATGAGGATACAGATCTGCAGTGCTGGCATCCCGGGGTCTCGCTCCCTTCAAGACAGAGGATAAGGGGGGAACTGAGGGACAGTCCGGGGCTTTCAGCTGCCAGTCTCCCTCCACCTGCATCTTGGAGGCTGCTCTTCCAAGAACCACGGGCGCACACCTGGCGGGCAGGGCCACACTGTCAGACCTGGTTCCCGCTGCTCTCAGGTTTATGATCACTGAATGTGAAACAGCCGCTCTCCCCACTGTCCACAACTGTCACACCTGGGCGGTTGGAGTGGGCAACCCCAGGTGACGGTAAGGCAGGGCTGTCCTGACTGTGGAAGTTTGGCTCGTGTGCCACTAGGCATGATCCTACATCTTTTCTCTGAAGGGACTACCCTGCTGGGGAGCTGAGTTTCTGGAGATTACTATAGAAGGGATCTGGTTTGAGGTTCTCTAAACTAATGCAATTCCTGTGTCTGGCAGAACCCTTTCTCCAGGACAGAACAGCATGTAGCCGGTGGGGTGCTGGTAAATCGGCTTTCTCGAGGAAAAAAACAACCACCTTTATTCATAGCATTTGCCAGTTTTCTTGGTGTAAATACTCCCACCACGACCGTATCAAATGTTCCTGAATATTTAACAATCGGCAGTAGGAGCTGTCTCCGGCACACCGCAGCATCGAGGACTCTGGGGAGCTGTGTCCCTAAGACAGCGTTTTCTCCGGGGCCTTCAAATGTCATGACCTTACTGCGATCTCAAGCCTCAGCTGCGGGGTCAGGACAGAGCAGGGTCTCTCTGAGGCTATCCTCACTCCACCTCACCCCCACCCAGAACTGAGGCTCTCATTTTAGTCCTTGAAAAATGAATTTCAAACTGGCAGTTCTTGTTCTCTTTTCCCGACAATCTCAGCATCACAAGTTAAAACCTGATGAGAAACTTCAGGTAGAAATAATATAAGAGCCAAATGCATTTGAGCTCTCAGGAATGACTCTGTACAACGTGATACCAGGGGTTATGTGGGGACGGCTTTTAAGCAGAGGTGGAACAGACCTTCTGGCATCGTGCTGTCATCTCTTAACCAGCAGGGGACTAGACAGTGGTGGGACATGGGTGGCTCTCTACATGCTGAGCAATGGAACGAAGGCGTTTTAAGGAAGCCTTTAGGACTTCACGTATCTCAGAGATGCACTAACAGCAGGCGCTTACCTCCAGTATCTCGGTTCCAAATCTTCACCCTGCAGTCATGTGATGAGGTAGCAACAACAGGCATCAAGGCCAGTGCTCTTGGTAGAAAGACACAGGATGCAACAGTCTGGAAGTGCCCCTTATACTCGCATATTCTGTCCCGTGTCTGCCTTAGGTCCCACAACTGCAAAGTAATGTCATAGATAGGCTAGCTCATGCATACGTATCTCTCTAGCTTCATACATGCTTCCTTCACTGACATCCATCTCCCACCCTCTCAGGATCCTCTTACTCCCTCCGCTTACCTACTCATGTAGCAACCCCTTATCTCCATCCATCCCACCCACAACCATCCATCCATCCCGTGATTATTTTAAGCGTCAACTATGTCTCAAACGACCCTGGTTAAGGAAGTGCCAGAAGGGTTGTTGCCTTCCTCCGTAACACCATGGTTAGGGAAGTGAAAGTTCCAAGTCCTCCAGCATGCTGGGACAGTCTGGGGTTGCCGACTTTCTACAACAGCTCAAGAGCTGCCCTATATCAGCCTCTTGGCGTCTGTGGGTCCTGTGGGGTCCTTCTCACAAGTACACACAGGCGCAGACCTCCTGGTTTACTGCCTAGACGCTGCACTTTGCTATATGAAGACCAGAGTCCACAACACGGGAGGCATTAGTCCCACTAGTCCCACTCATGTCGACACAGATCAGACCACACCTGGCGAATAACGTTCAGGGAGGAGAGCAAACTGAACTGTGTCCAAAAACTAACGAAATCTCTGGAGACCGTGTCATCCAAGGGACAGCGGTAGGAGCTGGAAATGCTTAGCTTGGAGAAGAGACGCTACATCAACAGCCTGGGACTCAACACCTCAACCTACCACTTACTAGCGCTGTGGTCTTGTGCTAGAGATTGCAACTTGCCGTGCCTCCATTTTCTCATGGTAAAATAGGAATTATAATAGTACTTAACTCACGAGGTTTTTTTTTTAGGACTTTTTTTTTTTTTTGAGGAAGATTAGCTCTGAGCTAATACCTGCTGCCAATCCTCCTCTTTTTGCTGAGGAAGACTGGCCCTGGGCTAACATCTGTGCCCATCTTCCTCTACTTTATATGTGGGACGCCTTCCACAGCATGGCCTGACAAGCGGTGTGTAGGTCCACACCCAGGATCCAAACCAGCAAACCCCGGGCCGCCAAAGCAGAATGTACGAACTTAACCGCTGTGCCACCGGGCCAGCCCCACGAGGTTGTTTTAAGGATTAAATGAGATAATGCATGTAATGTGCTCACACCAGTGCCCAGCACATAATAAATGTTTGACAAAATAGGAATTGTAAATTGTTCAATTTGGATACTAGATAACCCTTTTAATGGACACTGTTCACCTAGGAATAGTTGGGGCTGGCCCTTGACAAACACTGGAGCTTCAAACTTCCTAAAGAGCTTGACCCTCCTTGACTGTGACCACTTGACCAATGGGAATACAACTGGTTCCTCCAACAGTCCCTCTCCTTTCTAAGCTTTGCTGGGAGTGGGGACATTAGCAGGCCGGTTCTGTGTGTAGCACTTTCCTATCTTTTTTAAAAAAATTTGTTATTATTATTATTATTATTGGTGAGGAAGATTCGCCCTGAGCTAAGATCTGTGCCAATCTTCCTCTATTTTGTATGTGGGTCTCCACCACATCATGGCTGCTGACGAGTGGTGTAGGGCCACGCCCAAGTGGAGTGCACCAAACTTAACTGCTAGGCCACAGGGCTGGCCCCTAGCACCTTCCTATCTTGACTTCATCCCATTCCTCTTTTCTACGATCAGAGAGCCCTAGGCTAATGGATGTTTCTTGAGAGAAGCTTCTGGAATACAAAGGATCACTTACAACATGCACTTGTGATAGGCCTGAGCCATCAGGAGAGCCTGCCTGTACAGCCCAGGACAGACCTGAGGCCAGAGCAAGTCAGACGCTTGTCCGTAACCAGACCCCTGGATCCCACACTGTCTCTTACCGTGGCTTCACAGCCCTCCCCTCCAAAGCCACTGCTGCAGGAGATGCACATGTGTCCATCCTCACTGGCCTCGCAGTAGGTCTGGATATGCTGCTTTGTGGGAAACTGATGAGCTACCTGCAGCCCCCGACTGTCCCATAATCTGAAAGACATTACAGCAGGAGGTGAGTTTGTAGTAAACGTGTCTGAAATACACCTGTAATAGCCAGCTAACATAAAAGTCTGGGCTCTTTGCTGCTTCAGCCAGTCAGAATGGAACGTCGTGATTTACCTAAAAACAGCAACATGAACCAGATCAATCTCAGAGACTCCAAAGCTGGCAGGAAATAGCCAAATTGAATGACACTTGAGTTCTTTCTATTTTGAGATCTAGTTAACAGGAATTTAGAGCAAGCATCTTAATTGTGCAAGTTAATTTGTTAATTTGGTCCTTTGGGATACTGCTTTCAACGGACAAAAGGATATTTTTATGCTTATGACTTAATTTTTTTTTTTAAAGATACTTATTATGATACAAAAAAGCAGTCACCATTCTAGATGCAAAAGATTTAAAGTACTTCTCTCTCTCTCTCTCTCTTTCTTTCTTTCTTTGTGTGTGTGTGTGTGTGTGTGTGTGTGTGTTTTGAGGAAGATTAGCCCTGAGCTAACATCTGCTACTAATCTTCCTCTTTTTGCTGAGGAAGACTGGCCCTGAGCTAACATCTGTGCCCATCTTCCTCTACTTTATGTGTGGGATGCCTGCCACAGCATGGCTTGCCAAGTGGTGCCATGTCCACACCTGGGATCCGAACCGGCAAACCCCGGGCCACCAAAGCAGAACGTGTGAACTTAACCACTGAGCCACCAGGCTGGCCCCATTCCTACCATTTTCTAAGTAGAATCTCTTCTGAGATCCAAAGCTTCTAGTCATGCTTCTAGCCTAAGAATGAATGACTTATTTGACGCCTGTGATGGTGATTCTGACCTGCTTCCCCAGGGAGGGCTTCCCTGAGGGCTGGGTGAGTGACCACATCAGCTGAGCAGGGGTAGCCCGCAGAGCCAGGTGGCTTGAAGGGATGGGACGAGCAGGTTACTGATCCTGGGGTTCATCTGAACAGGTTCACACAGCGGGGGCAGGCAGAAGCGGCTGCTTCAAAACCATCCAGAACAGGGGCTTTTTCCTGGCCTGACCTCCTGGCATTCACCCTCCACCCAGACAACCCAGAGGGCCAGATCAGAGAGGCCACAGCCCCGGCGAGGGGCAGAGGGCAGAAGGGCACCGGCACACAGAGGAGCAGAGTGGGAAGGGAGTCAGGGAAGCATGGGAGCCACAAACCTTCACCAGAAACACCTTCCCTGCCGCGCAGTTAGCCCACCTGATGGTTTTATCTTCAGAAGTCTGTAGGACATATGGTTCTCTGGGGACCCAGCACAGGTGAGTGACCTGGAAGAAGCAAAGCTGTCCAAACTTCTCCACACCAAGTCCCTGCTCTGCTGTAATTCCTGTAAACTGCGCTACATGGAGTCTCTGCACCGCTTCTCAGGGACGCTGACCTAGCACACTGGGTGGAGATGCCCAGCACTCAGGCTCTGCTTGCGTCTCCCAGGTTCGCAGCAGCAATGGCAGCAGCCGGGCCAGCTGTGAGTCCCAAAGTGCACGCAGGCACTCTTAGCGTGTCTGAAACCCAAACGCGTGCTGCAGAACCGGTGCCTGATGGCAGCTAAGGAGAACAGCCCTGTTCTAAAGTGGGACCACTGGAACCCTAGCCTGAGGCCTCATAGGGTGCAGGGAGAGTGTTCCTGTTTCTCTGTAGCCCAGCAGCCCCCTGCTGGACAGGCAGGAAACAGTTTTCAAAACCACGCAAGGTAGGAGGATTTTCTTCCAGCAACTTCCACAAGTACGGAGGGCACAGGGCAAGCACATCTTGCCACTGACAGCTGTGTCCAAAATTGGCAACGATGACTATGACTGACATTTGATGACCACCATGTCAGGAGATGTCATTCTCCCCATTTATAAATGAAGATACTGAGACTTTAAGTAACTTTCTTGGAGCAACACAGCTAGAAAGTGATGCAGCCAGGATTTGAACCCAGGTATGACTGACCCCGGAAGCTGTGGAGTTTATATACCAGTCCTCGACAGAAAACACTGGTCTTCATAAACAGAGAGAATGCTACAGAAAGCCAAAGGTAATACCCACTTCTCCACACAACGTTACATACACAGAACACAGAGCATAAGCTGTGAGCTCCTGCAGGACAGCAACTGTGTCCTGGGTCACTAACCCCGCTCCTAGTACAGTGTCTGGCCCACAGAAGAAATGGGATAACTATGTTTTGGAGGAATAAATGAGGAGACCATTTAAAATTCCAATATAAACTAGTGGAGTCATTCTCTGGAGCAGAGACCTTAAGAGATCATCTACTCCAACACCCCCGAGAGGCCAGGGTCCGACAGAGGGCTGGGGGGAGCCGTCATTAGGACCCAAGCCTCTATGCCTGGTTGTGGGTCTCCGGATCTCACTCCCAGGCCCTTTCCCTCACCCCACGCTCCCTTCTGCTGCCCAGCTCTGTACCAAGTTTGAGTTCCTACCAGGTTCCTGGAGACAGCAGCTCTCTCCACACACTGTCCAGTCCCCACATCCCACAGAAGCAGGCTGTTGTCCCGGGAGCCAGTGCACAGCTGTGACGAGTCTTTAGAAACAATGGGAAGAAGACAGTCCGTGAGAAGGACCTGGAACAGGGCTTTTCAGAAAGGACAGCGGCGTTGGGAAGAGATCCACTTTACTTTACCTGGACTCACAGCCACTCCAGTGACCACCATGGCATGGCCAGAGAAGTGCTGCCTCGGTTGCACGGAGCCGTGCAAGTCCCACATCATGACCGTCCTGTCACGAGAGGCGCTGAAGAACTGGTCTGATTTGTGAACACAGGATACCTGCTCAGGAAGAAAACTCTGGTGTGCTTGTTTGATGGGACTTTAAAATGGGAAAAGGACTGGGGATAAGTGTGTTAGAGCCCAGTGTTCTCTCAGTCTGGTTCAAAATGCCCCGTATCCGGCACGGAAATACCACACTGTGTGCTGTGGCACTGTGGCTGATGCCTAGTTTCATTACGATGGAGTTTGCTCCTTAATTTGTGGGTCATTTAGCTGGACTTCAGAGAGGAGAGTTAAATAAATTGGCCTTCTCCATCAATTTTCCTGGAAGCTCACTCTACTCTGTAATGCTAACAAATTAATTTTTATTTAACTGTTATTGGCTTTTTAAAAATTTCCCTGACTAGAAGGTTCCAGAGCATAGAGATTCCATCACTTTTCTAGCTATAGTAGACACACAGGAGGCCTTCAATGCATATCCCTGTTAAATCAGGACAGGTCAGGGAGACCATCTGAGCTGTTACAGGCTTAACAAACGAAAATCTGTGTCCAATCCACCTGTAACAGCAGCCAAGCGAGTGGCTTGCTCTGCTTTCCCTGGGGGAGAGCTTCACAGCCTCAAAAGAAGCCCGTGCACTTTTCCTTAAGACGGAACATCCAACCACTCTTGCCATCTAGAGCTGTCAGATATTCCTTTACTCAGTTCCCAGTTCCCTCCATGATAACAATCGTTTGACAATTACCTTGGTGACCTCACGTTCGTGTCCTTTGAACCTTTTCACCACATTTCCAGTTTTCCAATTATAGGCCACAACTGTCTGCAGAGAGTCAGTCAGATATTTTAGTTTAACTGAATTTTCATTTACGTGAAACAAGCAGCCTTTATTTCATTCTCCGCCTAGTTTCTCCCTCTTCACCAAGGGGCCTGCCTCAAGCACTAGGGTTTAATGTTGTGTCTCTCCTCACAAACCACGACTTCGAGTTTCTTTTCTTTCCTCCTGAGCATTCCTGTCTCTCCCGGAGACCCTGGCCACTCCTCCGAGCCTCACTGATGGCTTTGGGTTAACACTCCCCGGAGGGAATTGATTTGGGTCGAGATTCCTGTTGTAGATGCTGAAGGAGCATTCTACGTGAGATAGGATTTTTTTCTGCCTAACTGGATCGTATTTTTATTTTAGTTTTTCTTTTTAATTTACCATGTTAATTGCTTTTAGAAGCACAGTTCAGTAGTGTTAGGTATAGTCACATTGTTGTGAAAAAATCGCACTTTTTAAAAATTTCCAAAAACCTCATCCATAGTTCCATCTGCCAGAGAATCATTGCTAAAATTTTCTATCCTTTTTCCGGGTATACACGTTAATATTTTGTCGTAAGCATTTCTCTCCCTAACAGGATTTCTCGAGGCCAGTCACTGCAGTCCAGTGCTGGAGGGTAAGGAGCATGGGACACACGTCCCAGCCAAATCTCAGTTTCTTAATCTGCAAATGAAGAGGATAATCCTTGGCCCGTCCGCCCCTCCGAGGGGAGGACCGAAGAAATAACATTTCCTACATCTAAGACGATAGAGGTTTTAAGACAAAATACTGCCGATTAAAGTATGAAACCATGCCTTATCTCCAATTTTTAGATGCGCACTGATTTCAGAGGTGTTAAAATGTGAAAACACGTGCATCTTAGAGTCAGTGAAATATAGTGGGAAATGGAATCTGAAGATTCTAAAAGGCTACTGAAAATGAGAGGCATTATTTACTACACAAGAACCAACATTTCTGCTGCCAATATCCTAGCCGTGAGTGTGACAATAGATCCAAATATGAGGGAGAGAGCGCAACCAGATTCAAAGCGGCAGTGGGAGGAAGGACAAAACAGAGAAAAGAGGACTCAGGACACACACCAATGTAGAGATTTTGGCAAAAGAGCAGCATAAAAGAGACTAGAAGGCTCCTTTTGATGATGAATAACTCCGGTGTCTGTGTGTAGATGTAAACATGGGTTGGCTGGAATAACAATTCTTGCCATTTATAAAAAGCGTCTGGCACAGTGCGAAGCGTCTTACCATTTAATCCTTATAACTCTCCTGTGAGATTGGCATTATTATCCCCATTTAATAGATAAAGAGACTGAAGCTCAAGAAAACTAAAAGATTTTCCCACAGTAACAGGAAGAGGCAGAGCAGAGATTTGAACCCTGTCTCTCTAACTCTAAAGCTCCTATTTTCATTCTACTCCACACTGCTGCCAGAAATGCAAAGCCAGCCCCTCCTTTCCAAACATCTTCCCTTCTCGGCAGTAAGTTGGTCCCATGGGAAGCACTGCAAACCCCACCTTATCTTTTCCTCCGGAGACACAAAGGTCTGAGTTCAGAGCAGCAACAACAGAGACGGTATCCACGTGAGCTGGGCTATACTCTTGAAAAGCGTTAGTTTGAGTTCTCTCTTCTATAATTCCATCAGGCCTGCTAAAGAGAGGATGGAAGTGAGAGGCCCAATGGTATGGGAGTGCACAGTGGAGCGAGGGGAAGACGAGTGTGAGCCACAGGAGCAATTCAGGCCAGGCTGAGAAAGACGGAAAAGGTTAGAGAAAGGAGACACACTGACATTGCCAGAAATGGTATTATTAACTCTGAAAATGCTCAGAATGACTGAACGATTGGAATCTGATAAAGAGGAATCCTGAAGCCAAGAAGCCAGGAGTCTTTGCTCACACTAGAGCTTGTCCCAAAGACGCCGGGCCCCCTGTGTGGCTGCAGATGCTAGTGATAAGCTGTTTCTGATCCTAAAGAAAACAGAGCAAATGGACCATTCAGGGAAGGTCAACACTTGCCCCGGGCCTCCTCTTTCTTCCGGGGAGAATTTTGACGGGGCATGACAAGACTTGGGATCCCAGGGCAGGACTGCTGTACCTGTATTTATAAGTGCTGTGTCTGAGTTTGCTCTGCAGTTTCCCCATCGCGGCCCAGAGCCTACAGGAAGCCTTCTGAGGAGGGGCTGGTGTCGGACGGCTCCTGGGCAGCAGCATCCCTTCTGGCTGCTGGAAGTAGTGCTCGCTGGTCAGTAAGAAGAAAGATGCGTCCTGTGAACTTTGTTAGGCACAGTCCTGGTAGCATGATTACGTAAAGATAACTCTTCTCTGAGAAAGACTGATAAATCATAATTTGCTTTTCCTCCTTTCCCTACCTCACTCTTAGGGCCCTGGGAATGCACCCGATAATAAAGCATTAGCAAAAACAAAACCAAAACTAATTAAAAAAATACTAAGAGGCTCCTCGACAAGCTAAACATAGAATTACTATATGATCCAGCAATTCTACTCCTGGGCATATAGCCAAAAGAACTGAAAACAGGCATTTAAACCAAAATTTACACGTGCATGTTCATGGCAGTGCTGTTCACAAAAGCCAAGAGGGGAAAACCACCCAAACACCCATCAATGGATGAACGAATAAACAAAATGTGGTCTAGCCACACAACAGAATATTATTCAGCCATAAAAAGGAATGAAGTACTGACACATAACATAGATGAACCTTGAAAACATGATACTAAGTGAAAGAAGCTAGACACAAAAGGCCACATATTGTATGATTCCATTTATAAGAAATATCCATAGTCAGTAAATCTATAGAGACAGAAAGCAGATTAGTGGTTGGGGACACAGGGGAATAGGGAGTGGCAACTTAACAGGTACAGAGTTTCCTTTTGGGGTAACGAACATGTTCTGGAACTAGACAGTGCTGCTGGTTGCATTAACACCGTCTATGTACTAAATGTCACTAATAATAAATTTTACATTATGTGTATTCTACCACAATAAAATAAATACTAAGAGTGTGTGTTTGAAAATAAAAAATAATTTACACTGGTGAAGCTTCTTGAAAAAGAGCCTTAGTTATTCTAAAAGTTTTTTCTTTTTTTTTTCAAAGATTGGTACCTGAGCTAACAACTGTTGCCAGTCTTCTTTTTTTTTTTCCTGCTTTATCTCCCCAAATCCCCCCCGGCCATAGTTGTATATCCTAGTTGCAGGTCCTTCTAGTTGTGGCACGTGGGACGTCGCCTCAACGTGGCCTGACGAGCGGTGCCATGTCCACGCCCAGGATCCGAACCGGCGAAACCCTGGGCTGCCGCAGTGGAGCACGTGAACTTAACCACTCGGCCACAGGGCCAGCCCCTATTCTAGAAGTTTACAACCTTCCTAGCTTGCTGGACTGTTTTAAGATAATTTCACTGTGACATTTCTCTAATCAGTGTGCCAGGGTCATGGGGTTACTCTGTAGGGAGAATGAGATACGAGAGATAATGAGACAACTTAGATAATGACGTAGACCAGCAGTTCTCAAAGCGTGATCTGAGGACCACTGGGACTCCTCAGACCTTTCAGGGAATCTGTGAGGTCCTCCTTTTTCCAACTATGACTCTCTGGGAGACCTAATTTTCTTCTTACACTTTAACCCAAACAACACTCTGCAATGGACTGCATGCAGAAACAGATATGAGAATCCAAATGTCTTCTGTTTAAGCCAAACATTAGAGTTTTTGCAAATATGTAAACAATACCACCCTTTTCCAATCAAATTTTTTTGTGTTTTGGAAAGTATATTTATTTTTCATAAAACTTATTTATGTTAACATGCAACAAGTTTATTATTATTATTTTTAAATGATTAATAAGTAAGTATTTTTTTAAAAGTTCTCAGTCTTAATGTCAACAGGAGGTGGCACAGCAGAACCCAATCTATAACCTACACAAACAAAAGCTCTTTCAGGTCCCCAACAATTTTTAAGAGTGAAAAGGAGTCCTGAGCCCAAAAAGTCTGAGAACCACTGACCTAGAACTCAAATAATGTCATTAGCAGATGATATATTAGGAAAAAAAAGAATTATTACATGTTTTCCAGATTGACTTGCATCATCCCCAACAACTAACAAAGTAGAACTGGAAAGAAACAGAGATGCTCATCCATACACTAAGTCAGGAAATACCTCCTAAGCACCTAACTCATGCAGGTCCTACACTGGTTGCTGGCGAAACAGAGGAGAAAAAAGAGAGAGAAACCGGAAGATGTGACCAGCGTGGACATCTGCTGAGACTGAAGGTAGGGGCTAGTCTCAGCTACTCTGGGTCATGTGTCCTCTGCAACTAGCTGTTCCCTGAGACGCCAGAGGGCACAGGAAAGTAACTGGGGAGGTGGGAGCACCAGTCCCCATCTCTTCTGGGGCTCTGCTTCAAGTTCCAGGAGATGAGTTTCTTACGGGCACGGCGAGCCTAGCTCTAGGAAGAACAGTCTACAGGGAGAACAGCAGCTAAAACTCACAAGCTGTCCTCCATCATCTCAGTACCCTTAAGAAAATATCCAGAAGTTCAACCTACGTTTTGAGAAGCTGCCAGAATTGACCTCCTGACAAGAATAGATAACCAGTACAGAAGCACACCACAACGGAAAGGACACCGGCTGGCATCAGGAGCCTGGGTTCTAGCCCCAGCTCTGTCTCAGCTCACTGTGTGTCCTTGAGTTCCTCCCCTCCCCACTCTGCGCCTCAGCCTCCCCGTCTGTAAAATCGGGACACCAGACTTGATGATTTTAACCAGACTATATGCTCCCTTAGAGGAAGGACTCTGTCATAATCATCGTTGTACCTCAAACGGCTTGCACAGTGTGACAAAAACATTCATTGTCCAGTAGTGAATCTAAGGTCACTTCCAGCTCAGCTATTCTAGGATTCTCTATAATAAGCACAAGATGTGCTGGCAGGAAAAATTCCAGGATAGTTTTCAAAAAGCTTGGGATGTTGTATTGTTTGTAGATAGAGAGACGTGCCCGGCTTCCTGTGTGCCAGCCTACCCCATTTTTCAACACTGTCATCAAACTAAGGACAGGTGCCATCCACAGATCTAGGTCACTGGAAACTGCAGATGCTATAAATGGACTGGCTCTGCTTGAAACTGATTGGATCTTAGCTGGCATCTTCAGAGAGCCATCCTTGCCATCTGAAGAGTATTCAAGGGACATTCTAAGGAAAAGATGACTTTTAGAATTACTTACCCCAAACCAATAGGACCTTCTTGGTGAACTGCCGTATTCAATGCTTTGTAATGTTTATCCTTTGGAAAAGAGTTCAGGTAGCCACTTCCTAATCTCTGTAATTAGTGAAAAGACGCTTAAATTAATCTCTTCTCTGTCTAAGCATATGTTTGCCCTGAAAGGAAATTTAAAAAGTAAATAAGGACCTTGTTAATTAAAGACATTGTTAAGTGTAGTTTTCCCAAACAAAGAGATATCTTACAAAATTCCAAGATTTTATCACTCTCACATTTCAATAGTTAGGGAAAGTAAACCATAATGTTAATTATATGTCTATTTTTAAAAATGCAAAATAGGATATATTTAAATGCATCAGTAAACATTTTTATTTTACTCATAGTACTTCCATTCAAAAATGTTTAGAGGTGACCACTTACTTTAGAGCTTACTGTTTCTGTCACAAAGGCAAATTCTGTTTAAAATAATACTTTGATAAGTATGAATCATAGAATTTGAGATGGAAGACCTTTTCAAAATGATCACATACAAACTCTTTATTTAAAGATCTGGAGAATGATGGCAGAAACATTATCTACTCAAAATTATAACTAGGTAGACCTCTTGACTTCTAGTCCAGAATTTCCATTGTAAACGTCCACAAAGAAGATGTTTTATTGCATTTTAACAACTCTATTTTAAGAATTCAAATAAATATATTCTAATTATCCATCGATAGTATAATGTTCTAAGAAGCGGCTCTTATTCTAAGAGCAGCACAGAACAGTCAGAATAACATCTGATCAAGTGTGTTAGCATTGGAATTAAGACCAGGTCTGCATCACAGTTCTACTGGGGCCAGTGGGGAACTTGTTGAAGCTCTCTGTCTCCTTTGTGTAAAATGGGATAATCTCTCTATCACTGGGCTTCTGGGAAGATTAAAAATAGCACTTAAGAGGTGACACTGTCTTAACTGCTTCATATTTATTAACTCATTTAATCTACTCCACACGCCTCCAAGATAGATACTGTTACTAGCCTCATTTTTGCAAGTGAGAAAAGCGAGGTACAGAGATGTTAAATAACTTGCCCAAGTTCACAAATAAGTGGCAGAGCTGAAACTTGAATCCAGGCAGTCTGACTCCAGAGGCCTTGCTCTTGCCCAGCAAACCGTCCTGCATCTCTACACAAGTAGCATAGAAAGCCCTCCGTTCACCCTGGCACACTGTCGTTAGTAAAAGACGGCTACTAGCATGATTGCTAGACTAACAGTGATAGCAATACCGAGACAAGCAATTTCACCCCTATTACTACTACTTTTAATACATACATATTAAACATACATAATAAATACACTCAGAGAACATATACACATGGATAAATGAGGCTGGAGGATATTAAACTGAAGCCACTTATGTCCCCTCACCAGAGTGACTGACCACACTAAGCCTAAAAATTTACTACATTATATAGCAAGACAATTTAAAATCTCAAGAACAAAGTATATGTACCTGTATAATGTCTACATCGTTGTAACTTATTATGAGTAGAAAGTCTCATAACGAATCTAAGAAATAAAAATACTATTCAGGGACAGCCCCAGTGGCCTAGTGATTAAGTTTGGTGAGCTCTACTTCAGTGGCCTGGGTTCAGTTCCCAGGGGCATACTTATACCACTTGTCTGTCAGTGGCCATGCTGTGGCAGAGGCTCACATACAAAAAGAGGAAGACTGACAGCTGATGTTAGCTTGGGGCAAATCTTCCTCAGGGAAAAAAAAAACACCAAAAAACTATTCAGTTATCTTCCATGGTTTATATTGTAAACACGTAATATACTTGAGAGGAGGAATAGTGTCTTGTTCGTTTTTGTATCTGTGCTTTAAGCATAGTCTGGGAGAGTGGATGCAAGGAAAACACCTGTTGAATGAATGAATGGCATACTGAGGTGAAGAGTCTGCTTGGCAAGATGCTTTGTAAGGACCTAACAATACAAGGGTCCTTGAAAAATGCCTGACAATAAAGCCTTCAGGAAACAGTTAACTAGCTCCGTCCCGGATTTCAGGCCTGGAAGGGCTGCGGAGGACTTGGGAAAGCTATAAACCCAATTCTGGCTCTGGATGTCCTTGTTAGTTCCAGATGGAACCAGGCCTAAATCTGAATCCCAGGATCCATTTCTGCCCCAATCTGCTTTCCAAAGACCTTGAGATGCCCAATGGCCACCCTACACATAACTCAGAGGATCCTCTTTTAACTCTCCAGTGCAATATTCCTTGATAGACTCCAGCATATATCCAACTGTTATTCTCCATGAAGAAACGGGGACTCAGAGGGCTGTGACTTGCTAAAGGTCACGCAGGGGCAGAACTGCGGAACTGGGCCTTATTTCCCTGGACTCTTGGTCCACTGTTCATGTAAGTGCTGATCTCCTATCTTCCTCCCTCTCCCCAGATCTCCCTCTGCACACATCTACCCTACACTCTGGGAGACCGAGGCATCTAACCCAAACGACAAACAGAAAATCACCATGGCAGCGCCTGGGAGATGGTCCTATTCAACCCTGTCATGGAGCAGAAAGGGGAAACTGAGGCCCAGAGAATAAGAGGGTCTTACTCAGAGTCACTCAGGGAGTCAGTACGAGGCCAGCCCTCCCCTCCTCCAAGTTTGGGGGACAAACTGTACAGTTCTTCCTTTCTGGCTCTTCAAATCACAAATACCCCTTGTCCAGTCCACGCGGCAGGCCAAAGCTTATTTTGGATGGGAGGGAGGTGATGGGGGACGCCCAAGGCGGGAATCTAGCGCCACCCAACCCGAGGTGGGCCCTGGGAACTCCCTCCTCGCTTCGGCCAGGTGGGCGGCTGCGGCCCGGGGCTCTAGGGCCTTCCCCGCCCGCCTTCTGAGGCCCTCCTCTCCCTTGGGCTCCATACCCATAGGCTGGATGGCCCGGCCGCGAGCGGAGGCAGGAGGGGCGCCGAGCCGGCGGGCATCTGCAGCTCGCACGCTCCACAGCCTCCAGCGCCTCCGCCCCTAGAAACGAGGCGCGCGTCGCTAGGGCGAGAGTCCCGGCGAAAAGCCTCCGGGCGCGCTCGCCGGCTGCCGGCCCGCGGTTCCGCTGGCCTGACGTCCCCCAGGGGCCGCGCCTTGAGTGCCCCGCCTTGCTTTCTTCCCGTAACAGTGCGTTGATGAGGTTCCAGAGATGAGGATGGGTGTGCCCCAGACCACCCTGCCAGAGAATCTATATAATGCAAGAAAAGTGGATACCACTGTAATAGTCCCAGAGCAAGCACTTAATGTCATTTTTTTAATGTCGTCTTTTAAATCATTATTTGCCAGCATAAAGAGGTTGCTTTATTTCTTTTGAGTTTTCCCTGGAAATTCTACCCAGGCAGACAGTCCTTCTTTGGACGCTTCCCCAGGTCCTCCACTCATCTATTCCTTTCATCCTTTCTTTCATCAAACCCAACAGCCCAGCACCATGGCAAAGAAACCCTCAGTACCTTCTTGAGATCCAATGGGAAGACAGCTCTGGAAACGAACAGCAGCTACAAGACGAAGTTTTTTCAGCTGCACTTGCATTGCTTCCAGACTAGAGTCTGTTCGTCTCTTTATTCTAGTGCACAGCACAGAGCTGGGTGTACAGTATGGGCTTGTTGAATATTTGTTGGATGAATGAATGAATGAATGGCAGGGATCTTAGCCAACACTTCTTTCACACCCTATTAGGTGCCTCTTGCCCTGCTGATTTCCCAGCAGAACTGCCCTCAATGAAGACTTGGGAAGTTTCTGAAAGTTAGGTGGCTGTGGGAACAGAGGTAGGGGTGGTGAGAGAAATTCACCTTCACAGAATATCAGGACTGACCATTGGCTCTATCTTCCAAGCTGGAGAGGGAATCCCCTCCTCAGCATTCCTGATCAGGGTTCCTCTAGCCCCTGTTGATGCTCCCTTGGTGATGATGCACTCACTTATTACTTTCTGAGTCAGTGACCTGTTGCTAGGAGACTTCCTCTTGGCAGGAGCTGGGATCTAGCCCCGTGCCGCTTGCCACACTGATCTGAGTTCCGAGCTGAGGGTTCTCTCTACAAACTTAATCCCTCTTCCCCCTCACAGCCTGGCAAACCTGCAAGCCGGAGAGACTGGTTGCTTTGCCCTGGGGCACTGGGCAAGGCTCAGTGCAGCTACAGAGTTGACTTATGAGATCCCTGCCCTCGAGATGCTCCAGCTCTGGGGCTGAAGCCCTTCTAGAAAATGCTTTATGCTTAAGGCACCTGAGACTCCCAAACTGGTATCTCTAGCCAGACTTCTCTCCAGACCTGTGTATCAACCTGCTTCCTACCCATCAGCACCTGGCTGTCTCAAGGACACCTCATCCTTGACGTGACTCACTTTGAAAACGTCATCTTCCCCTCAAACCTGTTCTTCCTCTTTTCCCTCTGAGTGCTGGGTACTACCATTCACCAATCGCCCATGCCAAGGATCTAGGCGTCATTTGCAACTTTACCGTTTCTTTTTCTTGTTAAGAACAATCCCCAAGACTTCTCAATTGTGCCTCCTAAATATCCTCAAAATAAAAACCTGTCCACTTCTCTCTACCTACCATCTTGGTTCAGGCCACCATCATCCCAGGTGTGATCAATTAAAAATGGCCACATATTCTTTGTAGCTTCTCCCATGAGGGCTGGCCTTGTAACTTGTTTTGACCAATAGATGTGGTGGAAGCTACATTGTGCTACTTCTGAGTTTAAGCCTCAAAAGGCCCGGTAGTTTCTGCTCTTCTCTCCTTGGAACACTGCCTCGGTGAGAAGAAGCCCCAGCTGGCCTGTTTAAGACACATGGTCCATCCAATAGCTAGCACCAAGTGCCAGACATGTGGGTGAGACTATTTTAGACCATCTAGCCCTTGTTGAGCCATCAGTTGCCTGCAACCACAAGGGTAGCCATCAGAAGGACAGCCCAGCTACGCCCAGCCCAGTTTGCCAACCCTCAGACTTGTGAGCAAATAAACAGTTGTCACTTTAAGCCACAGAGCTTTAAGGTGGTTTGTTATATGCAATAAGTAACTGATAGCCACGGTGAAGTCCAAATTCCTTCATGAGGTCCGTAAGGCTTGGTGCCTATGTCTTTAGCCTCACCTTCCACCTCTGCCAGCCCACTGTGTGCTTCAATGGTCTAAACGACTCGCAGCCCCCCGGGCTCATTTTGCTGTCACGTTTGAATTCTTGCGCATGGAGTTGTCTCTGCCCAGGGCATCTGCCTTTCATCCCCTCACCTGTCTTTCTCTAGACAACTCTGTATCCTCAGCTTAGAGGCCATCTAAGCTCTTCTCCCAAGAAGTCTTCCCTAACCATTTCTCTCCTCCTCCAGACTGAGTTAGCCATCTGTCCTTGGTGCTTCCAAAGCCCCCACCTTTCCCCAACACAGCGTGATTTTTGGTTTACTTGTCTCTCTTCCTTGACTGTGAGCTCCATGTGGGCAGTAACTGAGTCTTTTTTTTTCTCCCCAAAGCCCCAGTACATAGCTATATATCCTAGTTGTAAATCATTCTAGTTCTTCTATGTGAGATGCCACCACAGCACGGCTGGATGAGCGCTGTGTAGGTCCACGCCCAGGATCCGAACTGGTGAACCCTGGGCCACTGAAGCAGAGCACGCAAACTCAACCACTTGGCCATGGGGCCAGCCCCAGTAACCAAGTCTTATTTACACCTTTATTCGTTGCTGGTGTCTAACACAGGGTCTAGCACAACACTGCAGTAGAACATTCTACTGTGATGGAAGTCTTCTATGCTTGCGCTATCCAATATGCCAGCCCTGAGCTACATGTGGCTATTTAGCTCCTAAAATGCGGCTAGTGCAACTGAAGAATTGAATTTTAAATTGTATTTAATTTTAACTCTAAGTAGTCACACGTGGCTAGCGGCTATGGTATTGGACAGCACAGGTCTAGCACATAGTAGATGCTCATTGAGTTTTTTTTTTGAATAAAGAATGAAAGGGGAAAACAGTCAAGGTCAGCCAATTAGGACACAGATAGAATGCAGTGGGTACAAGCAACATAATTTCACGTACCCCCTTCTCCCCCTCACCTTTCATCCCCTCAGCCTAACACCCTGTCCCCATGCCTCCAACTCCGCCTTAGGTAACTATAATCCTAGTTCTTGGCTCTTTACTGCCCGAGCTGGTTATTCTGTCCTGGACTTTCCCAGTTTGTTCTTTTCCCTCCTGTGCTGTGGAATGGTCCTAAGAGCCCTCTGGAGATGCGATCTCGTCGCATCCGGTCCAGTCTGGTCTGATGAGAACAGAGAGGACTCTCTTTCCTTGGGGACCTGGACTTCACCACAGGGGACCCACGTGGTCTGAGTTTGTCTGCAGTGGCAAGTTGCCAAGTCCCTCTTGAAGGTGACAGTTGAAACTGTCAAAACGTCACAGGAGAAAAGAAGCCACAGCGTTCATTAATAGCCTTCTTGCCACTCCTGGAAACCGTGCAAACCCCAGTCAGATGACTTCCAGCCCTGACACCAGAGACGCTGGTTGGATCAGGGTCTGAGGAGGAAGGAGGTATGTGGACAGGGTGGGGCGGGGCCAGCAATGGGCCAGGGCCAGACCAGGGCTGGGTCTGCGGTTAAAGAACAGACCTGAAGGAGAGTAAAGGCCACGGAAGAATAGTCTTCTTTTCCAACAGACTTTTTCAAATATTCACTACCAAAAAGTTTAAAGAAAAAAAAAAAAGACCCAAACCAAATGTCATAAACAAGTAAGCGAAAAGGCAGGTAACAGAGCAGAATGTACAAATAATCCCAACTTGATAAAAATAAATACATGTCCACCTATATCATATGCTCTGGGACTAATGAATATTTTATCATGTGTGTGAGGGTCTGGAAATATACTTGTAACACCTTTTCAGAATGTAAATTGTATGCGGTTCCTTGGTGAGCGGGGAGCAGAGTTCACGACATAAAAGGAAATGTTGCCCTTGCTGGTCCCTCTGCTTGAAACGCTGCTTCCCCAGACAGTCTCAAGGCATGCTTGCTGTCTTTATCCAGGGCACAGTTCCGGCGCCACTCCTCCAAGAGACCTCCTAGATCATCCTGTCTAGATCATCTCCATCGAGCTCTCTGTCCTATAATGCTTGAGTCTTTTTCGTAACTCCTATCAGTGATCAACATTATGTTCCATCTCCATTTGTTTGCTATGTCCAGGACTGTAGGCGTCGCTCTTCCTTACTGTTGCATCCTCAGCGTCTTGCATCCAGCCTGGCACATAGGTAGGTGCTCCATAAATGTGCTGAGTGACTAAACTGTAACAAAGGTGTCCATTCTTCTCCGTCCGCAGATCAGAGTGTCCTGCCTAGGCAAGTCCTAAAGTTCAAGTACAGCCCTCCCCACTCCCACCGTGGCTCCAAGGGTCACCTTAGAGCAGCAGGTTTCAAACTTTCTTGACCATGACCCTCAGTAAGAAATACCTTCAACCTCCAGTGCTCACACATGTACATCGTTAGGGCCCAGGACAGGCACCCCAAAATATCCCACAATAGCACACTGATTATTTTGAATTAAAGTTACTTGAGAAGCAAAAAAGGGCATTCTGACCCTTGTGTCTCTGCTCCCCTTGGAAGCAGGAAATAAAGCTCCCACGTGGAAGGTGTTCTTCTTGCATCCTGACCACCAGAGTGAGGGAACTCAGGGCCGAGAGACCACATAAACAAACCTTACTAATTTACCACCTCAAGTCTAAACGCTGCTTATACGCCTCACTAATTTCCTACCTCAAATCTAAGTTTCTTTGTCCTGTCATCCTTCACAAATTTATTGTTACTTTGTGCAAAAGATATATATATACTGCTGGCTGTGTTCACTCTCTGAGGATCATTTCTCTATGACCTCCAGTACCTACGTATTAAACTG